GTCCAGAGCAGTCTTTTCCACTTAAAGGTGTACCAATACCTATGACTACCTTATTTATCATATCTGGTGCTTGCTTCGATGCTTTCAAATGAGGAACATTCCCTTTAAGTAATAGTTCGTGCCGCAATCCTAGCAGTGTCGGCCCAATCTGGGCAGCCACATGCTGTGATGCATTGATGCCGGTTTCACGTCTCAGCGATCGATTGGTCGTCAGACCTCGCCGCTTTGAGAGACAGGGTGGCTGAAGTGGGGAACAGAGACAGGCAGAACACAACAGACAGAAAGGGAGCCACAAACTCAGTTATAAAGAAGTGATATAATGCCTTCTTACGTTACAAATGACCTCATTTGCAGCTTTCATTCATGGGAGCACACGAAGTACCAGCAAACACAAATTGCAGCTTCTTTGGGGGGTAATCTTAGTTACGACAGTTGCGAAGATGAAAACGGAAAACGTGTCGCGCTGAAGACACGTCCGGCAAATGTCCCACGCAGATCTATGCACATCTTGGCACTTTTTTGTCATAATCGGGCCTTGCAGGCGCTTCAGATGACGTTGTCTTGGAAGCAAACTGCAGTAATGACACGTTAAGCCACTCGAAACCGTTATTTCTTCCGGCCTCGTTTCGCCTTTTGAGACCCCATTGCGTTTTTGCCTTCCACGCACGCATGTGAAGATTCTGGACGTGTTTCCCAAAAGTGTCCTGAAGTACGGCCATGTGTAATTATATGACCCGCTTGCAAACGCTCCAATGTCAGCTGTGTACATTCGCCTGGGTTTAATATCACCCAAGTGGCCATAATCGTCACCTCCTTGTCCACCGCTCTCATCTCACATCACAAAAGGCGCCTTACTGGGACCATCGTATGAACTGATGGCTTTTACGAACTCAATTAGCAGGGTGTCGTAGTGTAGTGGTTAACGCATGTGTGTTAACCACTGCACGTCTGGGAAACCAGAGGTACGCCTCTGGTTACGATTCTCCGCCTCGGGGTCCCTTCCCCGCGGTGTCCGCCCCTTCCTGCCAGGTTGAGAGGCAGGCGACGCCATAATAGCCTGAGCAGCTGAATGCGTCGTAAAGCCCCGATGTCCTCCCCCAGAACTTGAGTAGCATTCAGTGCAAAATGTTGGTAACCCAGCCGTAAACAATTACAATGTGACAGTGTTCACATCACCAGTCTTCACATTCGTTAGTGCCTTTTGAATTCGGCCTGTCTTTTGCCATCATTTTGACCAAGTCCGGTCATCAGTGAGATATTGACTAAGGCCTGCCGCAGTGAGCTGCATGTTCGGTAAATGTGTCTGAAAAGTAAAAGAAACGGTGTCCGCATCACCATTTTCCGGAAACAAGCACCGCCAATTTCTATTCGTCATATTTATGGCAGCTTGTATTTCACACAATGCTCGCTCGCAGTAAGTCCATCTGAACTCATCGGAATATGCATCGTTACTCTCAGATTTATGGTGATTTTATAGTTTTGTGTTTAAGTGTGTAGTAATGACATGATCCTGTCTTTAATTTTTCAATGTATGTGCCTCATCAGGGAACATACAGTGTAGATAATTAGCTGCCAATCATTGCCAATAGCTGCTTGCAAACGCATATTTTCCGATGCGCTAATGACAGGTGCTTGAAATGATAGCACCTTCATCAAAGAACACAAAGCTATTCAGTCGGACAGAACATTTGCCGTATGGTTTGTGGTTAAAATAACGAGAACCACAAGATTTTCAGCAACACAAAACACTTCGTGGCTCTCTGGAACCAATGACATCTGAGGAAGCACACTCGTCATGGCGGCGATTCTGCTGGGAGGACGCGGGGCCGAGTCACGCAGATCACGAGCAGGACTCAGTGATATCGGCCCTCTGCCGGTGCCGCTCCGGGCAGAGCACCGCCGATCAGTCGGCCGGGATCTCCGGTGTCGACAGCGACGGCGCGCGTTCGCGCGAGCTCGTCTCCCAACAGGTCGGCGACCGACGCCTGCCAGCCGACCGACAATACGCAAACAGCGTCGTTCATCACCACTGGCAGATTTGCTCTGCATCGGTCTTGGGGCGCGGTCTGATCGTGGTGCGCTTAATGCACACCGTGGGAGAATGAGCGGCGCCAGAGCGGGGGGGGGGGGGGGAGGGAGGGAGCCGGATGTCGATGGCCCGAGCAGCCAGGGTGCGTTGGGTGACGGCTGGCGGGACGCGAGATAGCCGCACGAGGTGGCCGCGGAGAACGCTCGGTGGCAGGGCGCGGCAGGGAACGACGCAGTGCGAGACGGATCAAAGGAGGGGCCGAGGGGCTAGGGTGGCGTGGGGCCGGAGGGTTTTACAGGGAACGAGAGGAGCAAGGTAGCCGACGAGTTTATGTGGTGGCGCGACTGTGCGGTGGGGTGGGCGGGAGGAGATGATGGTGCCATTCATTGTGTAAATGGACGCAGAAAGCGATAGCCATTGACTAGGAGCGCATGATACAGTTCAGGGACGGCTCTGAGAACCCCAGTCATTAAAAGAAGTCAATGTTACGGCCAATGTTAATAGCACACTTCATGCAATTGGTCAATATACGTCTTTAGACACTGGCCCTACAGTGATGTTAGTATTTCTCGCTTTGTCCCCTAGCTAGCAAAAGGTGCGGATGGCATTGACATGTGTGAACCAATCGCGAGAGCCCATTTGAATGAACTAGGCACCTCCTGAAGGATTTCGCCCAAAAAGCAAAACAAAGAAGTGCAGCATCACACGCATTTGTGCTCCATAGTTCTTCCCGTAAACGGTGGATCCCAATATGTGCTCCTAGACAAGCGCTGCGCAAGGGGGCGGTGCATCGCAGCAGACACGCGAGCTGGCTCGAGGCTGCGATCGTCTTGACATTGGCCAAGTAGCGTCATTGTATTTATCCATCCACATCGGCAGGTTTCGTGAGGGATGAACAGCTGGCCAGGTGCACACTCCGTCCCCGCTGTCTGAGACGCTGCTCTGGGCACGCCAACCACGGCGGCCAAGAAAGGTTCCGGGCAGAACAGTCAACGCAGGTCACGCGCAATGACCTTGCAACGGATGAAGAAGACTGTGGAAAGTTGCAACGGGTATTCGATGGTGACGATAGGATTAGACCAACTGCAATGATGTCCGTTGCGGCCACCACCGCGCCTACCATATTGCGCTCTCTATTAGCGGAACATGCTTCCTTCTCCAGGTACAGTAGGTGCTCTGGATTGCTTCAACATCACAGGCGTCTTTATTATCCCAGTCGCAAGACGCATATAGTCGCCCTCAGCCATCTCAGCCATTCACGTCGGTAACAGTTCATTGCACGTTACCGCATATTTAGTTAACAACGGATCGAACAAATACATGCCCACGTAATAATTCACGACCATCCGTCGTGCGTGGGTGGGTGACTCCTGCGTGGATCAGTTCGATAACGTGCACAAGCTAAGATACAGTGCAAGGATATCTTTAGAATCATATGAACATTTGACAACATCGTGTTCTATGCGTTTCTATACCCCGTCGGAATGATCACAGGACTGATTTCGGAATCATTGCTGTAGAAACCTGCTAAACCAGCACCGTCAATGCCCGCTTCTCTCATCTCGCCGGCTTCACAGCGCCCTCGTCCACCCGGCTCATGTTCCCGAGCTGGTCGACACCATATAAACAACATTAAACATCTTAGGTACTGATCAACGCCTGCCGCTAGCACCGCCGGCGCAGCATCCATGAACTGAACCACACTACGTTCGGGGCTCGCGGACGCTTCGGTTTACCGCACGAGCAGAAACATGAACCCGAGCAAGACGGCGACTGGGTCGGTGAAGCTTGATGAGGAGCTCCGGCTGTCCCCGAACGTGTACTTGTTCTCCGAAATATTGCCCGAGTCAGCGTCTGAAACAGTGCAGGGGCAAAATTGGGACAAGGTTCGGGTGGATGCGTTCATCATGGCGATCGGGACGACGTACAAACAAGGAGCCATGAACGAGGCTTCCTGTAGTCGCAAACTTTCACGGGCATTTTCAACTCCAATCATTGGCGAATACGTGCGAAGTCTATGCAATGCTGAAATGATGATCTGGCCCAAAGGCAGCAAACCATGCACCGACAGCACCCATCCCGGCTTTAAATCCACCATCGCAATACGCAGTACCAACGCAGCACCAACGCATCCTCACAGCTCCCTCCTCCGAAGTCCATCCGCCGGGGTCACAGTGCGCACATCAAAGCGCCAGCGAAAGCCTGCGGTGCGGGTGCTGCCCGGCTCGTGCCGTTGCATTACCGATGTGCGTGTGGTCGGGCCGGGCCTGAGGCTGGCCGGGCTGCCGCAGCTCCACCTCCCTCTGGCTGGGCACCCGCTGGGACGAGCCTGGCTCGTCGGCCGCCGCCGCCGGCGCGCGCTCTGAAAGGGCGCCCGTTAGCACGCGCTCCCGCCGCTGGCGTCGGCCTGGGCCTGGGCCTGGGCCTGAGCCTGGGCCTGGGCCTGGGCTCGGCGGGGCCGGGGCTCTGCCGGTGCGGTGACACAGCAGCTGCAGTGTGCGGCCGAGGCCGTGCTCCCGAAGCCGATGCAGCGGCGGGCTGGTGGCTGTGTCACAGCCGTACACGATTGGCCTGGACAGTGCGGAGGTAGCAGCAGCGATGCTCAACGATCTTGTTTGGACTTATGAGGGGCTCGAGGAGCTTGTGGGGTTCATGCTATTCGCTCTATGCATTTCCTTCCACTCAATGAATGGGGTTGGGGGGTTGGGGGGAGGGGGCAGCGAAATAGCATTTCGCTCTTAAAATCTTATGGATCACTGCTGGTGATCCGGTTCATAACTGGCATCGGCATCAGGCTAGACATGCGTGCAGAACACCCCCACATGCAAACATGCGTACAAATGCGTCAGATATGTCTTAGTCGGACAGTCTGCAAGTTCAGTGATGCTAGAATGACACTTTACCTCACTGCCATCAACAGCTAACAGTGAACAGACACTGACTGATGAGTGCGCGGTAAGATGCGTCTCACCGGAGGGAGGAGTGAACATATGGTGGCTTATTTTAGTCGTGCTGAACGTTGTCGGAGCCGGTTCCTCTGCAACCAAGTACTCAGGTTAATAAGCAGGCCACCTCAAAAAGTACGACCTAAAGTAAAGATACGATTTCCGTCCTGTGGGTTGTGACAGGGTGTAACGGGGGTGCGCGCGTGTTATGGGGTGACACGTGGGATGTGACAGGCTATGATCGTGTGACGGGCTGCAACAAGGTATGAGTCGTTTTGCGGTGCACACCCCGCAAATGGATCAAAATGAAAGCCCATGCGGCTCCACTGAGCAAGATCGGTGTACAGGTGTTGCTGGTGCGCAACAACGCCGGCTATTTGCAGCGTTTTGTTTATATCGGGTAAGAACAATTACACAACCTAAACTTTGACACATGCTCAAAGTTCAGTCCCACCACCATTAAAAACAACGTCGGATTATCGCTAAGTACGCTACTCTCCACCCAAATAAAGAACAAAGATTTGCTGTAACCCGTCGTGGCCCAGCTGCTTACACGAAACGTGAGAATCCCGCTGACGAAAATGTGTAACGACTGAGAAATAACTACTTTGTATAGCACCACTGCCTTGTGGACGGTCAGCTGCCTAAACACCGCAGTCCAGCCTTGCATGCCAAGCCAGCCAAGCGTATGTGCACTAGGGTGTGTCATCGAGGGGGTGAATCTTTTGGAATCAGCTGAGGCAAAGTTTTTCCTTGGCACACGGATTGATGATAAACTTAGAGGTCTGTCGCATAGTACCCATGTTGATATTCGTGACGCGTGAGCATTTTTTTCCTGGCTACGCCAAGAATGTCGCATTCGATACCATTGCCACCTATTTTACTCACTGGGATCATCCTCCAGCAAGCCTCAAACTTGCCACTTTCCACACCACTGGTACCTAGTGGATTAGGTATGAAATAGATATCATGAAGAGCGCCAGCAAAACATTGCCAAACAACTCTTAAGCTGGCTTGTTATCAAAGAACATCAACTTTTGGTAAAACCCAAAGCTGCGCAGTTATGAGAATGCCCCAGCAGACTGGGGTAGGTGCGAGATTCCGATTGTTAACACATCATTGTGATGTCGATTTGCAGTTTACATGCTTGTTGTGTGGGTGCTATGGGTTTATTAGTTTAGTTTTGCCGGAACTGAAACATTTCCTTCGATCAATTACTTGCACGAGCATGCCGAGGGCTATACGGTCGCGCACAAAACATTTTGCAATAGGTCACCCGGCTCCACCGTCCCACCACCAACTGCCGACTACGGGAAAGCCTTGAGCTACATCAGGAGGCTGAGCGAATCGAAGAGGAATCTCACTAATACCATCTGCAAGGCCGCGCCGGCAGAAACCAGGTAACTGTAGACCAACGTAGCGACCCCGTTCATGATCTAAAATACGTACCAAAATTGATCGAGAGGGATTGACATAATCCCAGCAAACCTATCAGCAAGAAATCAAGGAAAGAAAGAGAGAAACACAGCAACGCCGCCACCGCGAATTTCAACAAGCTTCTTGATGTCGCAGAATGCAAGTGCAAATCTCAGCGCAGCTTTCCATGCCCAATTGTCTGCACGGTGTATCAAGAGGAGGTTGTCTTGAAGGACCAATGCAGGTACTGGGAGCTTACCCTGGGGTCATATGACAGGGATACAACTATGACTAGGGAGGCTCGCGAGGTGCGGAGGATGGTCAGACAACTCCAGGGGCGTCATGGCCCGGCCGCCAGTGGGGCGGTGTCTGCTGCTGAACCTGAGTCGCCTCCCGGCCGGCTGTTGAGCCTGCGCCGCCTGATGGGCCACCGCCGACTGCTGAGCCAGCGCCGCCTGCTGAGCCAGCGCTGGCTGCTGGTGCTGAACTCAAACCTGCTCCGGGACCAAGTGGCCTCAGCGCTGGCGACTCAGCCGAGAGCACGAATTACTACACGGTTTCGTACACGCTAGAAGGTGATGACGACGCCGATTGTTCGTTCCGGTTGAGACCACTGCCACTGTAGATTGTAACGTTAACGATCTGAATAACACCGCGCAGGCGGTTGACAGCTACCGTGGCTCGAACCGGGTCGCTGCTGCTATCATAAATGCCTTTCAACAAGACAGCAGAGACGGACTGGCTACTTGAAACCAAATACCACAGATCCTAAGAAGATATGCTGCGCAAGAGACAGAGCGAGAAAGGAGACAACTCGTCAAAATGCTGGAGTAATTCACGGGTCGGATTTGACCTCTACTCTGACGGCCGCGAAGGCAGGAGCTACATGAGTCACACGGAGCCGAGCGAATGCCGTCAAAAACACGTGGCTGTCATCGCGGAGCCATGCAGCCGCTACGTAACTCATTTTACGTCCGGGTTCGGCCGCGCCCTGCACTTGCTCATCGAGCTACACTCCATGAGCCCGCAGTGCGGCGGTCACGTCAATGTGCGCGGCTGCGATGGCACGGCCGTCAACACCGAGACGAAAGCCGACGTGTTCCGACTGTCTGAGCTGACCACCGAGTCACCCGTACACTGGTTCATCTGCCAGCTGCACGGCAACGAGCTGAGCCTTCTCCGTCTGCTGCTGAGCTTGGACGGCACGACCACGGGATCATTTTTTTTTTTGACCCGTCAGCAAGACATGCACCGGACGCGTCTGGGAGAAGAATGTTGTGGCATTCAAGCCTCTGCTGGGCCACGTGCCAAACCTGCCGGTCGACCTGATTCAGCAGCTGAGCACCAACTAGCAGCTGCTCTACCTTCTGGCCTCCGGCGTCCAAAACGGCTCTGTCCGAAACGTGGCAGCCCAGCGACGAATAAGACCATGGAATCATGCCAGGTAAATATGAAAACGCATTTTCTTCGAATTTACGGCAACAGCTCTTTAAGCTTCATCAAGTATCAATTGATATTTCATGAGCTTACTGCTGAGCATTTTCTTATTCGCATATCTCGTACCGTAGCATGTCGCATCATTTGCTCGTTGGTTCATGTTTACTAGCATATTTGTTGATACCCATTCTGTCACATTTAAGGACTCTGGACATCGGCATGATTATATGCACTTAAGAGGCGCAATAATTTGTGTACGATCTTATGCTCGGTTCGTAACGAATTATTATAATATATTCGCTTTTGCTTTCAGATGGTTTACACTGGCCGCTCGCCTGTTCCTAGTTTACACCTCTATCGAAACCTCCAGCAACGCTTTCAAGGGCCTCTTTCAGTGCGTGGTCGGCCAGTATGTGCCGGTATGGTCCGCCATCCGGCAGAACAGCATCTGCGACTTTGGCTTGCGCAACTTGTTTCGGAGCATCGCACTGCTCCGCGAGCTGCCACAGCACACATAGGCCTTGGTGCAGCTAGTCCGCCAGCCTAATGGGTGCTAGGTCCATCCAGACCGGCTGCTGCTGGACATGGTGCGGGATGAGAACCGCATGGTCCGCGAACAGGTGGCTCCGATCGTCGCGCCGCTCGTGAGCAGCAAACCGAGGGTCTCACTCAGCCCAGGGTCTTCGCCATCTCAGCAGTAAACTTCGAGACCGTGAAGCACACCAACCTGATCCCCTGGCACGGACCAGTCACACAGCCTCCAATGCGAGACCCAGGACTGTGAGCTGCTGAACAAAGTGCAAGCTACACTGGCAATCCCGTCTAGCTCACACAAGGAGTACATACAGCGCCGAACTGCCGAGGACGTCTGGGGCTGGAGCTAGAGCTTCGGCAACATGTGGAGCCCAGCTGTGAAGGTATTTCTGCTACCACGCGATCTCCGCCAACACGCGTTTTGGGTTTCCAGTCTGTGAGCAGCTGCTGTTTGGGCCGGTACATCGAATACGCAGGCTCGTCAAGGAGCAACATGTGCATGGGGTCACCCTAACCCCCCCCCCCCCACTCTCTACGCCCATGGTACAGGCCGCAGAACTTGCTATATGCACTGAATTGGACGCCAGACAGTATATTCTGAGTCATATGCTATGCATGGTTTTGTTTGCATCACGTGAGTTGCCTTGGAGAAGTGAAAGCCTAAAGCAATACTAACCAACATACTTATACAACGAGTTCATACTCAACACCACATAAAGTTTCCGCCATAGGGCAATCAGTCCGGTAATGTCTGATCCGCACATTAGACCTTAGACCGAGGCATTCTCGTACGACGGCTTAAGGAGCGCTCGGTGGCATCGCTTCCATACGCAAAAGTATTTTGTATCGCTTGCCGTCCACGGCTTGGTGTTACCTGCGACAGCAGGCGCCGCCCAGCATGAAGTGACTGCAGCGCCGGGCATCGGTTTGCGGCTATATTTTGATCGGCTCGCGCGGCACGAATTTAAGTTTTTGGGAAGAGCTTTTGCTATGCCGTGTACTTTTGGACTCCTGTGCCAAGGAATATCTTGCCTCACTCGGTTTCGTTACTGATGACACACCCTAATGTGCGCACCTGCCAAATTGAGCAGGCCAGAGAAAGCGGCAGAGTAAAATGACTTGCCGTATCTTAAGCTGCTTAATAGACGTTGTACACTGCGGCTTGAATCGGGCTTCACGATGATGCCAGGACAGTACCCATCATGGTTTGGACAGCAGATACTAGCACTGGAGAACGGTCTTAAAACGGCACGCGGAACACCCAATTCTGTCTCTTGGGACGGCGAGCTGTGACAGTCCACACCGATCCCCTACACACCGCGCTGTGACAGCCCGCACCGATCCCCTACACACCGCGCTGTGACAGTCCACACCAATCCCCTACACACCGCGCTGTGACAGTCCACACCGATCCCCTACACACCGCGCTGTGACAGCCCGCACCGATCCCCTACACACCGCGCTGTGACAGCCCGCACCGATCCCCTACACGCCGCGCCGTGGCCGCCCACACCGATCCCCTACACACCACGCTGTGACAGTCCCCACCAATCCCCTACACACCGCGCTGTGACAGCCCGCACCGATCCCCAACACGCCGCGCTGTGACAGCCCACACCGATCCCCAACACGCCGCGCTGTGACAGCCCACGCCGATCCCCTACACGCCGCGCTGTGCATTTCCGTTGTGTTCATCATAGTGACTGACACCACTGACTGTGTGTCATAGTGACTGACACCAGACCTTTAACGTGTCTGTCTCAGCGAGCCACTGACGCTCCGGGGCAGGGCCAGTCTCTTACGCCACGTCAGACCTTTAACGTGTCTGTCTCAGCGAGCCACTGACGCTCTGGGACGCTTCCAAGCTACTTTTTGCTCGCGTGATTCCTAAATCCGAGGCGCGGGGCGAACTTTATCTCAGTTTGGACAGGTACAAAACGCCAGGCTCCGAATGCCTGACGGGAAAGTGTGCTGTCGGAAATAATATGCTCACCGTCCAGAGATATGACGCCATCAACTTCTCCTAATGAGTTCTTCGCCACACATTTGTAGCTCTGGAAGTCTTCCTTGCGGATGTCCATGATGGTCAGGATCATTGATACTTTGTATACAGAAGTCTCAACCGATTTTATCTCGAATTTAGGGCCTGAAAAAGGAGAGTAGAAAGGCACTGAAGTTCAAAATGGTGCACATCGCTTCGGACTTATTGATTACTGAAGGCTATAATAACAAATTATCAACAACGCCTATGCAACACCAGAGACAGGAAATGCGCGAGAAACTAAAAAAAGAAATGGAAAGAACGGACGAAACGCGAGAGATAAGGAGAGAAAAGCAGAGAGAACAAGAGGGGGAGAATGAGAGAGAGAGAGAGAGAGAGAGAGAGAGAGAGAGAGAGAGAGAGAGAGAGAGAGAGAGAGAGAGAGAGAGAGAGAGAGAGAGAGAGAGAGAGAGAGAGAGAGAGAGAGAGAGAGAGAGAGAGAGAGAGAGAGAGAGAGAGAGAGAGAGAGAGAGAGAGAGAGAGAGAGAGAGAGAGAGAGAGAGAGAGAGAGAGAGAGAGAGAGAGAGAGAGAGAGAGAGAGAGAGAGAGAGAGAGAGAGAGAGAGAGAGAGAGAGAGAGAGGAGAGAGAGAGAGAGAGAGAGAGAGAGAGAGAGAGAGAGAGAGAGAGAGAGAGAGAGAGAGAGAGAGAGAGAGAGAGAGAGAGAGAGAGAGAGAGAGGAGAGAGAGAGAGAGGAGAGAGAGAGAGAGAGAGAGAGAGAGAGAGAGAGAGAGAGAGAGAGAGAGAGAGAGAGAGAGAGGAGAGAGAGAGAGAGAGAGAGAGAGAGAGAGAGAGAGAGAGAGAGAGAGAGAGAGAGAGAGAGAGAGAGGAGAGAGAGAGAAGAGGGAGAGAGAGAGAGAGAGAGAGAGAAGAGAGAGAGAGAGAGAGAGAGAGAGAGAGAGAGAGAATGAGAGGGAGATGGAGAGACGAGAGAGAGAGGGGAGAGAGGAGAGGGAGAGAACTGACAGGATGGGACAGTACCGCCACAAGGTGCCACACCAGCCAATATGGCACCATTTGCCGGCCATCCCTCGAGATGGTGCCAATCTTGCCAGATTAACATTTTCAGAACATTTTCTGCCGGCCGCAAATCTGATTGTGACGTCCCCCCACCAGATAATCGAAAACGCATCGGCTAACTGAATGAGCGCGGGGGCGCGGCCGAGCCGGGACCATGATTATGTCTGTGGGGGCGCGCCGGGGGACAGCGCCGCGCCAGGTCCGGCGGCGTCTGTGTGTCACTGGTTATTACCTGCCGTGATCATCTCGCCCTGCCCGTTGGTCCAGTAGTTGATGGAGCGCGGAAACGCCTCCGTCTCGCACTGCAGCCGCTTGCTGCGCTGGCCGACGTACGCCGACTCCAGCTGGGAGGAGACCAGCATCATCGGCCCGACTGGCGGCGCGGAGGTGTCAGAGTCAGTCTGAGCGGCGTCGCCGGTCAGTCTGAGCGGGAGCAGGGCCACTCAGAGCATCACCCTGTCAGCGCGGAAAGGGACCTGGGCCGCAGCGATTAAGAGGACTTCACTGTTGGTGCAGCGGGGTGCGACTCAAGAGCACTTCACTGTTGGTAGGAGAGGGGGTACGACTCAAGAGAACTTTACTGTTGGCGCAGGAGGAGGGTACGACTCAAGAGGACTTCACTGTTGGTACAGAGGGGGTAAGACTCAAGAGAACTTCACTGTTGGCGCTGAGGGGGTACGATTCAAGAGGACTTCACTGTTGGTACGGAGGGGGTACGACTGCAAGAAAACTTCATTGTTGGTGCAGAGGGGTACGACTCGAGAAAACTTTACTGTTGGTACAGAGGGGGTACGACTCAAGAGAACTTCATTGTTGGTGCAGAGGGGGTACGACTCGAGAGAACTTTACTGTTGGTGCAGAGGGGGTAAGAGTCAAGAGAGATTCACTGTTGGCGCAGATGTGGGTAGAGTCACGACGGGCTTCACTGTTGGCGCAGAGGGGGTAAGAGTCAAGAGAGATTCACTGTTGGCGCAGATGGGGTAAGAGTCAAGAGGGCTTCACTGTTGGCGCAGAGGGGGTAATAACTCAAGAGGACTTCACTGTTGGCGCAGAGGGGGTAATACTCAAGAGGACTTCACTGTTGGCGCAGAGGGGGTAAGAGTCAAGAGAGATTCACTGTTGGCGCAGAGGGGGTAATACTCAAGAGGACTTCACTGTTGGCGCAGAGGGGGTAATACTCAAGAGGACTTCACTGTTGGCGCAGAGGGGGTAATACTCAAGAGGGCTTCACTGTTGGCGGCAGAGGGGGATAATACTCAGAGGACTTCACCTAGTTGGCGCAGAGGGGGTAATACTCAAGAGGACTTCACTGTTGGCGCAGAGGGGGTAATACTCAAGAGGGCTTCACTGTTGGCACGGGAGGAGGGTTAAGGCCCAGAGGACCTCACTGGCGGTGCAGAGGCGAACAGCACTAGGATCCGTAATGTGGCCACTGCCAGGAACGCACGACAGCGGCTGCTCTGCATGGTGGGCGTTCGATTAGGCGTCAATGTATTGCGCGGCTTATATTTTCATTGAAGCAGTCTTCCACACTTAAAATGGGATGCTGTCGGCAAAGTATGCAGCTTACAGAATTAAAACCCAAGATAACCAGCGTGATAGCCCTCCCTCAGTTTTCCTTCCTCTATGCGTTCTCCGACACGCACCTGTGGCGCACCCTCAGCGGCTTATGCCTCGCCACGCGCCCGGTGCCGGACACGCACAGCCTATCACTCAACACGGGACAGCCCGGGGCACCCCGCATCGCAGATCGCTCAGCTCCATACCACTATCGTGAGCAGAGCCACGGAAACTGCAATTTCGGTGAGTGGTAAACCTCAGCGCAGGACATGGAGCGTGTGTGAGATGCAATAACATTTTGTCTAACTCTACTGGACATATCATTGCTTTTTTTCTGCGAAGGAAAACTGCATTTGTTGAGCACTGTGTACACTGGTGCTCGTTTTTAAGCAGATCGTGGTGAAGATGACAACAAATGGAGCCTACATAGGAGGATAATCAACAGCACACTGTTTTGAAAAATGACGTTACGCTTTCTCTTCGCTGATGTGTAAATTGTGCGATCACTTTCTAGCATGTGCACAATAACGCCCCATGGAGCTTTCAACGATCCACGTCACAAAAGCACCTCTATCATGCGCGCAGTGCACTGCTGATAATCCAATGCCTCCAGATGTCCTTCCAAGGGACCGGCCGCTAGAAACGCTCATCAGCCGAGGGCTGATCGGACCGGTGTGAAGTGTCGTCTGTGCTACGCCTCACCACCAGCGCTAAACCCACTTGCTTAACTCGTTATAAATGCAAACATTGCAGCATTTAGAACTTGGACAAACACAGAGCAATGGCTGGGTAACCGCGCCGCGAAGAGTGCTTGTTAACTTATCGATCGTTTATCCAACACTCCAATCGTTGATGTTGTTTAGAGCCTCGTCTCCCGGGTTAGAATGGAGCCGAGCCGGCTGCCGTCGTCGCACACCATCAGCGCTGGCTTCGGCCGGCGATGGCGACTACTCACAGTGCACCTTGACGTAGACCCGCTTGCTGACGGCCGGCAGGATGCCGTTCCTGGCTATGCACAGGTAGGCGCCCATGTGGAGGCGGCTGATGCGGGTGATGTTCAGCTCCGAGCCGTCCACCACGGTGACGGCCGACAGCTCTGCAGGACGACAGGTCACCGCGGGTCAGGCACGGGCCCTCCGACGAGGCATCGCGGCGCCCCGGTCACCAGGAGTCGGTCACGGACCCTTTGAGCGGCACAGTGTAGGGCGCGGGCGACAGTGGGGATTGTCGGAGAGTGGGACTGTTTCCAATGAGACCCCAGCACAAGGGCACCGACCTACGCTGGGCTCAAGGAGCTCGCCGATCATGTAGCAGTTTTACATTCTCCTCTGACGGTCATTGTGCGGCTTCTCGGGTCACAAAGTTTGGGCTAAGCAAATTATTCCATCCCTTTACAAACAGGTCGGTAGATATCCCCACCCGCCCTCCATTCATCGTCTTTCATCAAGTGCCAGTGTCGAGCCCCGCAACAGTTGCGGCGTAATTTGACCACTCTACCCGTTGCCATTATCGTTGGTTTATTCCACCCCAAACCACCTTCAGTCCGTACTACCGGACCCCGCAGTTTTAGGCTGAAGACCTGCACCGGCTAGTGGCAGGCCGTCACCACAACACATATTTTTTAGGCGCGGCCTCGGAATGTAGAGTGGCCCCCGAGAATTGCATTTCACGCGCAGGTAATGAAGCGAGCCGGGTTTATAATGGCTCGGTGGTAGGAGTGATTGTCAAAAACCGCTGGGTTCCCGGAGGGCGAAAAGCATTGGTGTTTCCGCGAAAAAGGAAGTGTTTGGTGCGCTAAGACAGCGAAGGCCAGGCGAGAACAAAAGCTCACGAACGGGCGGGTTGGAGCAGGGGTGGTCATAAGCTGGACATGTGGAATGGCGTTCGGATATTCACATGCAATCATCAACGCATTATTGCAAATCCGTATGTGGACAATTACAGCTGACAGTGTTGTCCATCTCCAGTATGTGACAGTGCTGACACATACTGGACATCCCAAATATTATACGGTACACGCCTTCCTTGTCAATGAGATAGAAGATAAGTCTTCGATATTGGAGAGACGGCAGATAAGGTAGCAGGAGTCGGTTGTGGGCAAACTTCTTCAAACATCAAGAGCAATAACCTGTTGTAATCAAAGCCAGGTCAAAGGGCTAACATCACAGGCTTAGGCTGCTTTTTACTATCCCCAAAACTATGCCTGCGATGATAGCAGAGGCAAACTATGGCATAGGCCACCAAGATGACTCCAAATCATATCACGGCGTTGAACCGTGAGTGGGTGTGGCCCATGAGTGAGTGAGTGTGACCCGTTAGTGAGTGAGCGTGACCCGTGAGTGAGGTGAGCAGTAAGTGAGGTGAGCCGTGAGCGAATATGAACCGTGAGTGAGGCGAGCCATGAGTGAGTGTGACTGGTGAGTGAGTGTAACTTGTGAGTGAGTGTGACTTGTGAGTGAGTGTGACTTGTGAGTGTAACTTGTGAGTGAGTGTGACTTGTGAGTGAGTGTGACTTGTGAATGAGTGTGACCCGTGAGTGAGCGTGACCTGTGCGTGAGGTGAGCCGTCAGTGAGTGTGAGACGTGAATGACTGTGACCCGAAAGTAAGTGTCATCCGTGACAACCCGGTCACGCGCACAGGTTAGACTTTATTTACGAAGCCCCAGTGAGCTACGTCAGAAAGCACCATGGTACGAACGCGAACCGAATGGAGATCGATAACGCTCTTTTGGCTGCGCTCTATATCGATTAAGGACGCTTACGACATCTCAAACCAGGTTGTAAACAGTAATGATCATTCCCTTAGATATGTTTTCAGTCGGTGCGTTTAATCCAGTTTTACCCTAGACGGCGTCACCCAAGCAATGTAAAAATGTCACGCATCATCCCATGCGACATTTCATACAGGAGATAACTAGACAGAATTTCTTCGGAAAGCTTACCCTTAAGCTTAATAATGAAACATTCAGCATCGTGCGCTTGGATATACAGCTGTTCTCTTAACTTCAAGAGAGCACGAGGGAGTCCCCCTCGTCCGGCGGGCAAGAACAGTCACCACCACATTTTGCCCTTACGACTTGGAATAGTAATGGCTAATCACGAAGAAAATGGATTGGCACCCGCAGTCTGGCAGCCAAGCAGAGATCTGCACCTTTTCATACCGACCCGTCAACCATAGACAGACGCCTGGCATCATTCACTCATCGGTGCACCGCCACACATAGGGTCGTCGGTTAACACCTTTATAAAGAAATAAAAGCGTGACTGGCTGTACTCGACCTTCGGCGAGTCATGCCCCATGATCGCCACGCCAAGGGTCCAGCGTTGCCTTACCCACCTGTCTACATGCGGTCTTTAATAAAGCCAATCAGTTCCACCCTTCACGAGCTGAATGACCATGTGATCCCGCCACCTCTGCCCTGGGCACGCTGTATGGCTGTGACGTCCGTTGACCCCTGCCCTGGGCACGCTGTATGACTGTGACGTCCGTTGACCCCTGCCCTGGGCGCGCCGTACGGCTGTGTCGTCGGCTGACCCCTGCCCTGGGCGCGCCGTATGGCTGTGCTATCCTCTCACCTCTGCCCTGGGCACGCTGTATGACTGTGACGTCGGCTGACCCCTGCCCTGGGCACGCTGTATGGCTGTGACGTCCGTTGACCCCTGCCCTGGGCGCGCCGTATGGCTGTTCCGTCTGCTCACCTCTGCCCTGCGCACGCTGTATGGCTGTGCCATCCCCTCACCTCTGCCCTGGGCACGCTGTGTGACTGTGCCATCCCCTCACCTCTGCCTTGGGCGCGCTGTGTGGCTGTGCCATCCCCTCACCTCTGCCCTGGGTGCGCTACATGGATGTGTCGTCTACTCACCTCTACCCCGGGAACGCTGTATGGCTGTGCCGTCCTCTCGGCGCCACTGCACGCTCGGCTGTGGGTAACCGGAGGCGCGGCACACCAAACTGACGTCACGAGTCTCATCTCTACCCTGGGAACGCTGTATGGCTGTGTCGTCTGCTCACCTCTGCCCTGGGCACGCTGTACGGCTGTGTCGTCTGCTCACCTCTGCCCTGCGCACGCTGTATGGCTGTGCCGTCCTCTCGGCGCCACTGCACGCTCGGCTGTGGGTAACCGGAGGCGCGGCACACCAGGCTGACGTCACGAGTCTCCTTCACGATCATGTCCGTGCTGCTGCCGGCGTCGTGAATTCGCGGCGGCACTGCGGGACCGGCGAAGACAGGCGTCACATGCAGATGACCGGCCGTATCGGGTTCAGCGACGGCAGGACGTCTCGCGACGCTCGCTGACCTCCCGCTCACAAGAGCTGACCGAGTGACCACACGCTCCTGGCCCGAGAACGCTGAAGGCTGCTGGACGGCTCACACGTTTGAAATGGACGTGAGTGTCTCTGTTTAATTCGTAAGATTTTATCTAAACAGGTGATCGAGGTAAGAAGGGTCAAGATGGTACCGTAGCGAAAAACGGCAGCGCAAGCAATGCACGCAGATGTACTACGGGTCGTTTTTACATGCACGAGATCACGTGCCGTTTTTTCCATTACACATTCACCGACACTCAAGCCCCACTATTTAAAACCAACACAGTTGCTGCTGCATATCAGCACTGAACGCCGGACCAAGGGCCACACCTATCGTGGCATAGGCATCACGTTTGTCTGGGAGCGGCCCCTGCCCCCCCCCCCCCCCCGCCGCTCGCCCGATGTCTACTGAACACCAGCCCACGAGCCTCTGAACCCAAAGTCGATTTGCTTGCGTGTCTGTCGGTGGGCGGAGCCTTTTTTGTGCGTGATCGGGTGACACGCCGCCGGCGGCGATGAAGCCGCGCAAGTTGCCGCAGCTCGGACAAAATCCGCGCATCAGCGCCGACAACACAACTGAATCCCTGCAAGTCGCAGCGATCGTCGGCTTAGCAGGCGGACCAGACAAAAAAACGGGCACGTGCCAACCAGAGCACGTTCGTGAAGTGTGTTTCGCAGCATTAATGTTAAGGACCCGAAAATATGAGATACTATTGAGAAAAAGCACAACTGAAAGCAGCAGCATAACGCTTTTTAATATTTGTATGCCTGTAAGGTACGATTGGAATTCATTTTATTCAGATTCCCGGTTGCTCCCTGCAACAATTTACTGGATGCAACATATTTAAGGCATTCAAATATGGCCGTGCAGCATGCCACGGCAAGGTCGGTAGAGCAGTAGCCTCCGCCCGCCCCCCCCCCCCCCCGAAAAAAAATATACCTGCAACATTGCATTGCTAAGTGTTTACCAATCCCACGCGACAGCAGCTATACGTACAGATGCCATCCTTACACCAGTGCCAGCGATGAGAGCGTCACTTCGACACACCACAGCCAGCAGCGTACGGCCGTCTTCAGACCGATCCGTGTGCGCGACTCGCGCTGCCCTCTCCCCAATCTCTTCCTTGCAGAGGGCGACGTTGACTCACCGACCACCTGCAGGTATCCGGTCTGCGCGATCATCGGGTCTGTGTTGATCTGGCACATGTAGAGGCCGCGGTCGTCCTCCGTCGCCTGGGCGATGTGCAGGTGCCACCGGGCGCGGCCGCCGTGCGTCAACGTGACGCGCGCGTTGCGCGTGATCACCGTCCGGTGGATGGTGAGGATCGTCTGCGTGTCCACCCGCACCCAGGCCACCTGCGCGAAGAACGCGCGCTGGGTCACAGCCGGAGGCGGGCTGCGTTCAGCAGAGACGAGCAGCAGCTGGTCTGACACGGTGCGGGCTGGGATAAGGAGGCTCTCTCCAGAACCTGCCGGTATACTGGTGGTGATGACGTGATAATATGGCCAGAGGCACATCTTCTGTGAAAGCCTCCCGGCCATGCCATGCCGTTGGCCATCAACATCATGGGACGTCGCAAGAGGATACCGTGATGTGGCTTCCATCCGCCGCGATCGCACCTGTCGAGTCCAGTCAAGTGCATTGTGGAATTCAGCCTTGCGATCTCCATGGGTAAGCGCCAAAAAACACTTCAATGCTGCTTGGGGCTAAATCAACGCATGGCGCGTTGAACCGGGCGTTTTATCGATCGTCATTGCTTAAATACTTCCCTTTATTTTATAGCTCCACTGACGGAGAGCAAGAGCTCTTCTTTAAACATTAATCGGCTGTTCGTAAACATACCAGACACGGCGCCCCTCAATCGAGAGCTGACATTAACATTCCGATGTCTGATGTACACTAATGCAATTCATTTGCATGCGTCGTATCGTACGCTAAATTTGTGGTGCTTTACGCGGAAAATACCTAACAGCTATGCTGCCGTCACCCACATATATCACCACCGACCGGCATAGTCTCGCCTCGTCCACGCGCGTGGTGCCCTCCTCTGCCGTGCCGGCCCGGTCCAACAGGCCGAGCCATCAGCGCCACTATCGCCGCCGCCGGGCCGGGCTCGCCGCCACTTGGCCGCGCCATCAGCGCCGCCGGCCGCCGCCGCCGCCAGTCGCACCCGCCACTATCGCCCACTTAAACACGGGGTTTATGCACGCCGTTGAATCACTTTGATTTTTGCTGGCACCATGATAAGACAACTCGATTTATATTTACGCGTCTGTGGGGCGCGGCGGCGGTGTTTACGGCCGCGGGGTTGGCGGCCCCACGGAGAGCTGGGACGGGGGGAGCCGGCGCGTGGAGGTCCGATGGCGACGGCGCGCTCCGATGGCGACGACTGCAGAGTTTTAGCACACCATCTGTGACGTGTCGTCATGTGCGAGACGATCACCGCTATGTATTGTCACGTTGAGTCTGCTGTCTGCGGTCATAGGCTTCGCTGAGCTTTTGGAAGTCCCTGAAGATATTTACAATACAAACCAGATACCAGATTCTAAAGAAGGAGGTTCTCCTGAAAAAAAACGTCGGAAGTTTATTCATCGTTGTCAAATACGCACTCTGATGTATGCTAGCACTCCTGAAATGAACAACAAAGCTGCATTGGGAGAGAAGTGCGGCTTCTTGTATCCATAACGATGAGTCAAATTTTTCTATGTTCGCAACAGCTTCCGCGGGCGGCATTTTAATGAAAGCCAACTAGTATACAAACGGAAAACCACGACAATTCATCCTCACAAATCACGAACACAATTCCTACCTACCTCCCTTCTCTAAAAATACCACACCAGACAAGTTCACAGCATGGGTGTCTACCAAAGATAAAGCAATGTGTCTTTCGATACCGTCCTGTTGTCGGCGTGCTCATAACGACAGCAGCGTGTCAAATAATACGCCGAGTAGCGGCGCCGGGGTGGTCGGCCGGCACGGGACAAAAGGCCCCGATCTGGCCGGGCTTTGTCGGACGGGCACTGGCTGAGACGGCAGCGTCGTAATGCTGTTAGTAAAGCTGGGCACTGCACAGGGCGGCTTCCGAGCCGTTTTTGCCGACTCTCTCGGTGATCCGCGCCGGTGGCTGGACAGGACGATCACGGCGGCGCCGGAGGCCTCCCCAGGAGCGTTCGTAACACGGTTACGTTTGGGCTAATTGCTCGCGACCGTAGTAGCTTGACGGGACTGTGGGCGGTGGGTACGACCGGCTAAAAGTTTTGCTGTTCGTTATTCAGTGCGCAATTCGTGGATAAATAATGTTTGAAGTGATGAACATGCTGAACGAATATCCGGAATATCTCCAATGGACAGAAGACTTCCTGCACGCCTTGCCCCGCTCTTTGGATATGCGGGGGAGGGAACGACGGAAGTTCTCCCAAGTTTGGGGATGGTGTCGGTAGCCACTATTGCTTGTTTTTTCAGTCTGCATTCACGGGACTGTTCACGGGACTCGATAACGCTCACTATTCACAAAATTGAGCGCTCAGCTTCCCTGCTTCCTCCTAGTCACTGTACCCTTGAGCGAGTGCTCTGCCCAAGCACCAGGAGACCTAAAAAAATGAGCTTCAAAAAACACCAAACCAGATCAAGAACAAGTGGTCGACGAACTCAGTCGCTTCCCATGATTCAGCATGGCCACAAGTTGCAATGAAGCTCCACACAGCGTGACACATGAACTCCGCCACATAGAGCAGTCACAACAGCGGAAGACCACGCCCCAGCGCGTGACGGATGCCGAGAGGCTGGCGTGTCCGCGTCCAGCGGCAACAGACCCTCCACGATCCGGCGACCAGCCCGCCGGGCCGTGTCCGCGTCCAGCGGCAGCAGACCCTCAGCGATCCGGCGACCAGCCCGCCGGGCCGTGTCCGCGTCCAGCGGCAGCAGACCCTCGGCGATCCGGCGACCAGCCCACCGGGCTGTGTCCGCGTCCAGCGGCAGCAGACCCTCGGCGATCCGGCGACCAGCCCACCGGGCCGTGTCCGCGTCCAGCGGCAGCAGACCCTCGGCGATCCGGCGACCAGCCCGCCGGGCCGTGTCCCGGACAGCGGCAGCAGACCCTCAGCGATCCGGCGACCAGCCCGCCGGGCTGTGTCCGCGTCCAGCGGCAGCAGACCCTCGGCGATCCGGCGACCAGCCCGCCGGGCCGTGTCCGCGTCCAGCGGCAGCAGACCCTCGGCGATCCGGCGACTAGCTCGCCGGGCCGTGTCCCGGACAGCGATGGCCCATAAGACAGCTGCCCGCCTCAGCCACCGCCGGCCGCGGCAGGCCGGCGCGCTGCGGAGCTGAGCCGCCACTGGGCGGGGCGCGCCCCACCCCGGCCGGAGTGCCCGACCCACTCCTAAATCGGCACGGCGGCCGGCCGAGCCGTCGCCGCCGGTCCACTCATGCCCTCTCCGACCGTGATTTAAGCACGCCGATGTGACAAAGTGGCCGCCGGCCGCCGGTTAATGATCACTTGGGCGGCGGCGGTCTGCGCGGGGCACGTTGTGTAGTAGCGCTCCTCGGTTCCGATCTGCTGTCTGTGGCTGGCACAGCTGCAGCACAAGTTAGCCCGCCCGCAACCAATGGCTCAGGAAGGGTCATATGGGCGGTGACCCCATAAATGCGAAACGGCGAAGACATGTGCTCTAAATGTACCCGTGTGTTCATTGATGCTGTGGACGGTTGTGGGCAATTTAGGAAGCTGAATGACGATGTGCGCAACTATATGATCTGTCGCGAAGCTAGAACATCACAAGATCTGAGAGATTTTGTCCCATGGTGCATACGATGCGACTAAGGCGTGAAACATTGCAATTTACGCGCCAATTTAGCGTATATTAGCGCTTATAGCGTTTATTTAGTGATATACTGAAATCGCCCAACCGGCATTATTATACATTTTCACATTTCCACACCAGGTTACGTGCGCTATCTCTTCTGTGGGGTCGTTGCTCCCTGCGAAGATCGCTCTATTCTGGCAGTTGGTAGACCGACCTGGTGTCAATGGCCTGGACCCTCCAAAACGTTGAACTGATTGTACCACTGTGCCTAGGTGAGAAGGCTTGGTTCGTTTCACTTTAGTAGCCTGGTGGCTTATGAACAAACTTCGCGCCAACTTGCCGAGGCTCACCCTTCCCCGAAGACACAGAACTGTGCACCGCAGTGCTAACTGCAAACAGTCTTGCGTCAGAAAATCGGCGAAACGTTTTGTTCCGGACCTGATTTATTGGCCGAATTTTCAAAGACCCCTCCAATTACGCTGCGTGAGATTAGGCCATAACGTCTGAATCACGGAGACCGGACAGGGAAATGAATGCAGGCCAGTCCATCGCTTTGTTTCAACACCAGACGAATGGCCCGTGCAGAGGCGTGGGTCGCGCGACAATAGAAGCCTGTTATCGATGCAGCGTGAATAGATGAGTGTGTCCGATTTTCTTTGGATGTTCTCTGTGTAGCGTGCACGCCTGTCGGAAGCATGGCCAGGCGTGGAGGGAAATTTTGACTCCCTCGCATTAGCGCTGCCGTCTGTTCAGCCCAGTCAGAACTGGAGCTAATGAAAGCCATCCCGCGGGCCGACACACAGCTAGTCGGCGATGTCTGACGGCACGCACTGTCTGTAGGGCGCGAGAAGCAAGATGAGTTCATCTGGACTGCGATGATGCCGGGAAAAATTAAGGTTATTTGTAAGGAAAATGCATTACATTCATGTTCCACAGCGGGCGACTGACGACGAACAGGCGCCAGACGGAGGACATCTTTGTCGAATGCTTCTCCAATAAGATGTGGCTTTTGGGTCAGACAGCATTTAAAAACCGAGGAGTTGTTTTGAACTCTGCTATCGCAATCACATCCAAAGTTCACACCCAGCCTGATCCCAGGAGCAGCTCGGCCAGTTTCACTACGGTTCACTGGCAGATCTGCTGCACGGAGGTGGAGGGCCGGGCGCTGCCGCCGCGCTGCCGACGCGGTTTGCTCTGCAGGATCTCCTGCAGCTGCTCCTCGCGGTCGTTGTAACAGCCGAGGAACGTGTTGGGTCGCGTTTGGCCGCCAAAATTGTGGCAGCTGTGTGCGCTGTCATCGGCCGACACTGGGCCGTCGTTCCAGATCAGGTCGTAGCCGCCCACGCGCAGTTCACGGCCCGTTAGTCGGCCCTCCAGGTCAACCACGTGCAGAGTATCGTCGAGCAGCGCGAACTTGAGCCGGTAGTCGTCCCGGCCGGTGGTCGCCAGCGACGGACTGGCGTTCACCTCCATCAGCCACGGCCTCAGCTCGCTGTCGATCAGGATGTCGTATCCGTACAGCTCAAAGCAGTGTTTGTCGTTGATCATGATCT